CCCCCTGGGGGCCCCTTGGCTTGCCCTGGGGCCCCTTGGGGGCCCTCAGAGGGTCCGTGGGGGGCCCCCGGGGGGCCCCCAGGCAGAAGTTTCTGGGGTCCCTGGGGTGAGTACAGTACCCTGTTGGGCCTAAACTCTAAAAGTAAAGAAAAAGGGTCTCAGAAATATATTTCTTTTGGAGTTAGAGGGGCCCCCTGGGCCCCCAAGCAGCAAAAGGGCCCCCGGGGGCCCCCAGGGAATAAAAGAGGGTTTGCTGCAGCAGCAGAAGCCTCCGCTAGCTTTTAATTGACTCAAAAATGTCAAAATTCGGCTCTAGGGTTGAGGGTTGAGGGTTTAGGGTTTAGGGTTTGGTGTGTAGTGTTCAAGGCTAGCAAACAGTTCGCCAGGGGGGCCCCTGACGGGGGCCCCCGGCCCTGCAGCCGAAACCCTCTTCACAAAGAACAGTTCATCATCAAAAAAAAGGGTTTAGGGTTTACGGTTTAGGGTTCGGGGTTTAGGGTTTAGGGTTTAGAATGGGGACCTTTTCCCCCTTGGCTTGTTTTGGCTTTGAGGGCCAACGCGAAGAAATTTTTGGCTTCGACTCCGAGGGAGAAGGTGAGGTGTATGTACACCTCAAACCCTAAACCCGAAACCCTAAACCCTAAACCCTAAACCCTAAACCCTAAGCCCTAAACCCTAAACCCTGAACTGGTGAACCCAAAGCGCTGTACACACTGCACCGCGGACTTCACAAGTTCGGGGCCCCTAGTAGCAGCAGCAGCTGCTGCTGCTGCTTTTATTGCTGTTGCTGCTGCTGCTATCGTGGCTACTGCTGCTGCTGCTGTTGCTTTTGCCGCTCTTGCTTCTGTTGCTGGTGTTGCTGCTGCTGCTGCTGCTGCTGTTGTTGCTGCTGCTGCTGCTGCTGTCGTTGCTGTTCTCCTGCTACTGTTGCTGCCCTTAGTGCTGCTGCTGCTGCTGCAGCCGCTCTCTTTGATGTTGCTCCTGTCGTTGCTGCTGCTGCTGCTGCAGATGGATTAGAAGAGGGCCTTGGCTTTGCAGAGGACCACCTAGGGCCCCTAGGGGGGCCCCTCGAGGGGGGCCCCCCAGAGGGGGGCCCCACTGGGGGGGGCCCCCGTGTTGGGGGCCCCTTAAGACAAATATATATTTGGGTTGTTGATGCTGAAAAGTCCCTTTTATTTCAAGAAGCAAACCCTAATGTAGAGGGGCCCCCGGGGGGCCCCCCTGAGTGCAGCAGCGAGGAGGAGAGCTCTTGCTTCTGGAGGGTAGGGTTTAGGGTTTAGGGTTTAGGGTCTAGGGTTTGGGGCTTGGGGATGTTGGCTGAGACATGCCATCCAGAGGGTTGGGTTTTGGGTTTTGGGCTACTGGAGCTTTGCTGTTGCAATCTCCGGGCCCAGGGTTTGGATTGTAGGGTTTAGGGTTTGGGGTTTAGGGTTTAGGGTTTAGGGTTTAGGGTTTAGGGTTTAGGGTTTGTGGGTGCGTGCAGGAGTTGATGCGGGCTGCTGCATCTTTCGTCCGCTCGCACTTGTGCAGCAGCGACTCGGTGTGGTTCGGCCTGGTGCTATTCAACGCCTGCAGCAGCAGCAGCAGCAGCAGCAGCAGCAGCAGCAGCAGCGCGGGGCCGCTGCTGACCCCCGGCGTGTGTGTGGCAGTGGGCCTTCAAGAAATAAATATTAAAACAATTCAGCAGCTCAGAAAGTTGGCGGATTTAAAACCCTCGGAGTTCGCGGAAGTGTTTGCGCAGCCCCCAGAAAGGCCTGCCTTTTCAGGCGAGGGTTTAGGGTTTAGGGTTTAGGGTTTAGGGTTTGGGGTGGGGGGGAGGGGGTGTGTTCTGTGCGAGCTTATGAGTAAAGCTGGAGGGCCTAGTGCAGGGTTTAGGGCGCAGTGTTGAGGGTTTAGGGATTTACGGTTTAGGGTTTGTGCCTAGGGTTTAGGGTTTAGGGTTTAGGGTTTAGGGTTTGCGGCCTCAGACTTGTGGTGGTCTTTGAGCTCTCTGCTGTCAAGCACTCAGCAGCAAAAGAAGCGGCAGCAGCAGCAGCAGCGGGTTTACCTCTTCACAGGCTACCCAGACCCCTGCAGCAGCAGCAGCAGCAACAGCAGCAGCAGCAGCAGCAGCAAAGAGGAAGCGGAGCTAGAGAGAAGTGCATGCATTCAGCGAGTTCTTGATTTAAAGTCGCAGAAGACAGAGTTGCTTCTGTTTCCTCTGGAGCACGAAGGCCAGACAAACCCTAAACCCTAAACCCTAAACCCTACCCTCCACGCAAACCCTTGGGCTTGACGAAACCCCTGCGTCCTGCGCTGACACGGTTTGCTTTTGCCAACGCCGTGAAAGCGTTACATTCTCCTCCCCTTAGTTTAGAGTCTAGGGTTTAGGGTTTAGGGTTTAGGGTTTAGGGTTTAGGGTTTAGGGTTTAGGGTTTAGGCTTTGCTTGCAGAGGGCAGTTTCGACATGTCTCTCTTTTGGTCCGATGCCTTGGGAAGCGACGCAAGTGAAGACGCTTGCTATTTGCTGCTTTCAAACGTGCAGCCCAGCATTGAGTAAACCCTAAACCCTAAACCCTAGACCCCAAACCCTAAACCCTAAACCCTAAGCCCCGGGCCTCGCGCCGTCTCTCGACGCGGCGCTTTGGGCCTTGACGCCAAGCGTTTATTCTTCACAACGTTTAGGGTTTAGGGTTTGGAGCGCGGGGGCATCTAGGGTTTGGGGTTTAGGGTTTAGGGTTTAGGGTTTAGGGTTTGTGTTTTCAGGCGCGCGTCGCGGCGCTCCCGCCTCTTGTCTTCTTTTTATTTTCATTTGTCTCCTTCTTTGTGTCTCCCCCTCTGTCTGTACACCTCAATCACAAACCCTAAACTCCTAAACCCTCGCCCCATTTTGCTGCCAGAGGGTACACCTTTAGTACCCTGCCAGAGATGGAAGCCAACTACGGGGGCCCCCGGGG